GATGGCGGCTCACCCCGCACGAAAACACACACTTCTCGCAAAGCCTCAAAGAGGGGCTCAGCCAGCTGTGACGATTTCTCGAAGTCGTCTGTGCTTTTTTTTGGACGCACAAACCCATCTTTTCTTTCTAATGAGGGTGTCTTTCGCCTGGTAACAGGAGGTAGCTTCAGTAGTAACCAGTAGTAAGGGCAATGTAGGAAGCTACTTCGATGCAGGAAAGTCATCACACTATGGTTTTGGGAAATCTAACTTTAACCCTTCTCTATAGTCTCTTCATTGTCCGTTTTTTTTGTCTTCTTCTTCCTCAATACTTGCTCATCTGTTGCCCGGGCCCTGCCGGTCTCTCTCTCATTCGCTCTGGCCTCCAACCCACTCGTCTTCTTTCTTGCCAAGAGGCAAAAAAGCCCGTCACGAACCAGGCCAAGCTATAGCCTGGAGACATCTGGAGACTGAACTCTGGAAGATGTCTTTTGGTCTGGGTCCGGTAGCTCTAGTAGCTTGTTGTTACTAGTAGCGATGCCAGGAGCCCCTAGTAGCTTCTTGTTGCTAGTAGCGCGGCACTTGTTACTAGAAGCGATGCACTTGTTACTAGTAGCAAGAGTGAAAAAACGACGAACCTTGTTGTGTGGCCAAGATGGCAGTAGGTGAGGACGGCCCGCAGCGGCAATGAAGCTCAGCTGCCCACGGCAACAACCACACCTCAACGGCAACGGAAAAACCTAAAGGAAGGAAGAACGGAAGGAAGGAAGACACATAAGAAACCACAAATAACGAAGTGCACGGGAGAAGCATTTTGGAAGAGGAGACTAAGAAAACACATATCAACTCATGTCTGTCTCTGCGAAGTCTTTCATGTCTTTCATTAAGAATGATTGACTACAAACAGGCCTTGTGCACATTAGGGGAGAGGCCATCGCTTTTAGGTTGGAGGTCATTACAATTAGATATCTTGCACAGATGTCACTGGAAGTCTTAGGGTTCGCACGTTGGCAAACAATGTTTTAGGGGAGGTAGCGGGAAGCCGGGCTGTTTCCAAACAGCTGGAGGCTATAAAGATTCAAACACTGACGCTACTAGGTTGGAGTTCAAGGAATTGATGCAAACAAATCCTGCTGAAACGGGTTTTGGGCCCATGCTAATTGCTTCGCTTTCAGCCGCTTTTTGGAATCGTTCTCATTGAGGCTTGTTCTCGAGTCCATTCCTCCCTCAAACATCCGGAAACCTGACACCTGAGGCCTTTCAACGGCCTCCAACCTGCTAGCGATGGCCTCCATCCTAGTAGCAACGGCCTCCACCCCAATAGCTTCTAGCTACTAGTAGCTTCTTGTTACTACTAGCGATGGCCTCCAACCTAAAAGCGATGCCTCCACCTGAAGCCTTTTTGACGAGCTTCCCATGCAGTGGCTCCCAGGAAAAGCCGGATTCTTCCAGCCGTTTCCAAGAGCTTGGATTGCATCCTCACACAAAGCTTTTGGAGCATTTCATGATAAGCTATTAGTTAGTAACAAGTGCATCGCTACTAGGAGCAAGGACGCTACTAGGGGCTCCTGGCCTTACTACTAGTAACAAGAAGCTACTAGGAACAAGTGCATCGCTACTAATAACATTTCACGATAAGCTTTTCACAAACTAGACAAACTGTTCGCCTTGGTTCTGTGCTGCACATGCTCTCTAGACTCTAGACCGAGGTGCGCGAAGCCACCGGCTGCATAGACACAAACTTCAAAGGCCAAAGACACCTGTGAATAAAACGACAGGCGCTCTTAGGTTGGAGGCCATCGCTAGATCGGTTTCGTTACGTTTTCTTCTTTTTTTTTCTTTTCGTGTTTTCGTTTCTCTTCGTGTTTTTGGAGGCCATCGCTCTTAGGATATTGGTCGTGCCACTTTCGGTGACTCAACCGCTTCATTCGCTGTCGGACCTGCAAGCCCGAAAGTAAAAGAAAAAGGCTTCCATCTGTTCTAGTCGTGGTTGACTGCTCCTCAGCATGCACAAGCAGGCACAAAACAGGCTTCCTCTCTTTGATTTTGCAACTTGTCACAAGTGAATTGAAAGCTGACCACTGCACCACTGCATCGTCTTAGAATCGGACATAGACCAACCAAAGGTGCATCATGGACAGCACCAAATAGAGCAGGTCCGCCACCTGTCGGAGCGAGCCCGAAACGCACTCGACTCCAACGAAGTGAAAAGACTTCATTGACTCAAACAGTATATGTTCACTTCGTTAGTGTATATTTGTATATTTAAAAAAAACATAAAGAAAAGACATGTTTCATTTGTATAGATTTGTATAGATAGCTTAGTTGGACACCATTAATAGCCAACGTTGTCGACGTTCGCCGTGGCGATCTTGCACCTGCCCAGCCGGCCCACGAGGTCGATATCGGTCCTGGGAAGTGGGTGCTGTGGAGACCATCGCTAGAATCGAAAAAAGGAAAGGAAGAAAGGAAGAACAAGTGCATCGCTTCTAGTAACAAGTGCCTTACTGCTAGGAGCAAGAAGCTAGTAGTAACAAGAAGCGATTAGCAATAAATTGAATTAGAATTAAACTTAATTACTAGCTTCTTGTTACTACTAGTAAGGCCCGTGCTCCTAGTAGCGATGCACTTGTTTCTAATAGCTTCTTGTTTCTACTAGCTTCTTGCTCCTAGCAGTAAGGCACTTGTTACTAGAAGCGATGCACTGGTTCCTAGTAGCTTCTTGTTTCGGTCCAAAGAATTAAACACAAGAACTAGAGATCATAGAGACGAGTAACGCCAATTCGCCTCTCATTACGTCTCTCTTTTTCTTCCATGTCTGGACTCGGCTCGTCGTCTCGGGTCGTCTCGGGTCCTCGTTCCTCTCTCCATCTCCATCTCCATCTCCCTTCTCTTCGTCCTTTCAGGAGACCAAGTAGATTCCTTTGCTAGTAGGAACAAGTGCATCGCTAGTAGTAACAAGTGCCTCGCTAGTAGTAACTAAGAAGCTATTAGTAATTTAACTTAATTGTTTTTTAATTCTTATTGTTACTAGTCGTAAGGCACTTGTTACTACTAGCGATGCACTTGTTTCTCCATCTCCCTTCTCTTCGTCCTTTGGGACCACAGAAGACAACAGGAACACAAGGGCAGTAATAGCGGAACCGGCTAGCAATGACCTCCAACCTAATAGCAATGGAAAAGAAATGGACCTTGTGTTACGCTTTGTTCATTGGTGCTCTTGATATCTCTTTATTGAGCTAGTCCTTTCTCAGCACCTTTGCTGTCGATTGCACTTCCTCACTTTGTAACCTTGTCCACTCTCTTCCACGATGGATCTTTTCCTTTCGCTACTAGGTTGGAGGCCATCGCTAGTAGGTTCCTTTTGCTATTCCGCTCCTGTGCTGAATCTCTCCGATCGAATCTCTTTTCGAATCTCTCCTTGTCGTTTTCCCTCTCTCCACGCCGACTCGGTCGTGTCAAAGTCTCGCTTGCGCTATGCCTCAAGACCCGAGTTCAGTCTTTGATTTCTCTTCAACAAAAAGAGAACAACATGTTTTGTTTTCAGTTTATGTTCTATTTATTTTGCTTTCGTTTTTCATGTTCCATTCATTTTTCCGGCAAATTGGTCACTTACCAACCTCCACTGAGTTCTGAAGTTTGGTTCTTGAAGCTCAAAAGCATGCAGCACTTACAGCTCTTTGCTCAACATCTCCTGATTCCGAGGCCATCGCCAGTCCATGGCTATTAGAAACGAAACACGAAAAGGAAGAAAGGTCTGTTTGCTAGGAGCAAGAACACTACTAGGGGCTCCTGGCCTTACTACTAGGAGCAAGAAGCTGTCAAGATACAGTTTGTCCATGTTCAACGCGCCGCTTCACCGTGTCACAGCGGGAGCTGTTTCTCGGGAGCCAACGCAAGCTCGACTGCCATGACCGCCTGGCCGCGTTTGGCCTTTTTGGGCCTTTTCGGAAAGAAGCCAACAAACAGGCCATCGCTACTAGGGTGGAGGCCATTGCGAGTAGGGTTCCTTTTGCTATTGGGTTGGAGGCCATCGCTTTCATGACCTCTGCACCATGGAAGGATGCCTCTTTACAAGAACAACAGGATCTGGAAATGATAGTCTTTGTATCACTAATGGGCAGTCTGGAAATTATCCGCATCCCTGCAAACCATCGAAGAGGCAACCTGTGAAAAGAATCAACAAGGAGCAAGGACGCTACTAGGGCCTATAGGGGCTCCTGGCCTTACTACCAGGAGCAAGAAGCTACTAGGAACAAGAAGCTATTAGGAACAAGTGCATCGCTTCTAGTAACAAGTGCCTTACTAGTAGTAACAAAAAGCTACGAACGGGGCTCCTGGCCTTACTACTAGGAACAAGGATGCTATATACTTTTCTTGTTACTAATAGCTTCTTGTTACTACTAGTAAGGCACTTGTTACTACTAGCGATGCACTTGTTTCCAATAGCCTTTGCGCTTTGCCAATCATCTTGCCGAATCCTACCTTGTCGTGCTCGCTTCGCCCCGGCGCGATGGCATGTGCCCCATGTGCCATGGCATGTCAATGTCGAATGACCTGGCCATTTCCCTTCTACTTGGCATTGCTATTACATTGGAGGCCATTGCTACTAGACTCAAAAGAAGGTTTTTATTTTCTTTAAATTAGTTTAATGAGTTTGGAGGCCATTTCTGGCCTTCTACCTGGACGCCTTTGCGAATCCTTCGAAAGGTCTTCATTCTCGCTTATGCTTGGCAGCTTTTGTGGGTTTTTGGCCTTGCTGTGAGGACCAATACCTGCGGTCACCGTATTGAATAACAAGGTGGGTTTAACGGGAACCTTTGGCATTCTGATCGCGATGTTGCTCTTTCTGCTGCTTTTTCCTGACGTTCTCCTATGCCTTGGTGTGTCTTTCTCCAAAGGCTCGACTGAAATGACGAGGAAGCGATGCGATGTGACCGAGCTCAACACGTGACCAAAGAGATGAGACCACGCGATGGCCTCCCGAGTAGCAATGGCCTAGTGCCGGTGCCTCTTTTTGCTCAAACGGTGCTCCATCTTGACCATCCCCAGGAATGCCTGGCGACCCAGAGAACCAGAGAACACCTCCACCATCGGGTTTTGCGTGAAGACTTCGACCACATTACAGGTTCCTGTGCTGTTTCAGGCCATCGCTGCTAGGGTAGAAGCCATCGCTGGGTACACAGCACGTCCTACCAGCAAGTCCTACTCGTGCTACTCTCACTACTCACCGCTACTTCGTTGGGGAGGTCCTTGTGTGTGCACCGTGCCTTCTGCTCTCCGCAGAGTCCACAATTGTGAAGCTGGAAGCTCGAAAATCTACAACCTGGAGAGCCGAGTCAGTAGGTTGGAGGCCATCGCTACTCGAAACAAAAAAGACATGAGAAAGGTAGTTTGCTTGGCTTTTCTACGATCTTGTCTTTTCTTAAGAGGAACGAAGAGCTACGATAATTCCAAAGCTCAAAAATAGCAGGGTCCTTGTCCTTTGCAAGTTGTGAACCAATGTCTTCAGCACAAACTTTAAGCTTTCAAACGCTACGTTCGGGGCTCCTGGCCTTACTAGTAACAAGAAGCTAGAAACAATAAACTACTGCTTACTACTCTTTCCAACGCTTTTACTTCTTTCAGCTTCTTTCGGGGACTCAAAAGCGGACGAGCCTGACGCGGTCGGGGCTCCTCGCTGTCCTGACAGATTGTGTTGTTTGTCAAATGAAAACCTGTGCGGATTGGTCAACGTAGCACTCAGTTAATTTCATGAATCCTTGTTGAACCTGACTGAAGGAACAATGTCATGCATTTCGTTGCCAGGAACTTGTCTTGCTATTCGGTTGGAGGCCGTAGCTATTGGAAGCAAAGAAACAAGAACAGAAGGAAAGGTCTAATAGTAGCTTCTTGTTCCTAATAGTAAGACCAGGAGCCACTAGTAACGTCCTTGCTCCTAGTAGCGATGCCCTTTGTTCCTAGTAAGTTCTTTGCTACTATAGTTTGCTAATTTGTCCTACTATAGTTACTACTAGTAAGGCACTTGTTCCTAGTAGCTTCTTGTTACTACTAGTAAGGCACTTGTTACTCATCTCCTGAAGAGGTTCACACGAAAAACTTTCCATGCAGGTCTCGGCGCATTGTTTGCATCCACGGCCTGAGACTCAAACACAAGCGGCCTGAGGCCTTGCAGCTAATAGCAATGGCCTCCACCCTAGTAGCGTCCTTGCTCCTAGTAGTAAGGCCAGGAGCCCCTAGTAGCTTCTTGTTCCTAGTTGCGATGCCCTTTGTTCCTAGTAGCGTCCTTGCTCCTAGTGGTAGTGGCCTCCACCCTACTAGCAATGGTCTAAGAGCGATAGCTACAGTATTGGCATGAGTTACTGCTGTGAGACTTAGCATCATACTCAAACAAGCAAACATTCGACACTCCAAAGCTATCGCTATTAGGTTGGAGGCCATCGCTACTAGGTGGAGGCCATTGCTATTAGTAACACTCAACACTCCGAAATATCATTCCATACTGTCTCAATGCCGTGCGCACCTGCTGGGAAGTACTCCGGATAGGATTGAGCGAGGTGCAAGGCCGTTTCCCCAAGCTCTTTCGCAGAACGTAGCACCGAAGTCTCATTGATTTCACATTGATCCAAGTCCTGCAGGTGTAACAAGAAGCTACTCGTAACAAGTTTTCCTTTTAGCCCGCTCCCTCCTCCCTAGTAGGCTTCTAGTAGCTGGACGCAGGATAGCTCACGCTTCTTCAAGGAAGCTCCCCCTGCCTGAGGGCACTAGTTATTTGGTTCCTAGATTTGTAGGGAAACTAACTTGTAGGAACAAGTGCCACGCTAGTAGTAACAGGTGCCACGCTACTAGTAACAAGTGCCTTACTAGTAGTAACAAGAAGCTACTAGGAAACTAACTTATATACATGCCTTGGGCATATGACATTCTTCAGGGGCCTTGATTTCCGTCCTTTTGGACTTTTTACTTTCTCGCCGTCCTAGTTGCTTCTTGTTACTACTAGTAAGGCACTTGTTACTAGTAGCGTGGCACCTGTTACTAGCGTGGCACTTGTTCCTAGTTGCTCGCCTTGTAGTAGAAAGACACGACGTCTTGAGGATCTTTGACGCCGTGGTGCATAATGGGTCCGATCTCACTGCTTGCCCACCTGGACACGAGGCGAAAGTGTCGCGCACAAAAAATCCAAAGGTTCGTCATCTTCCAACCTAAAAGCAAAAAGAACCTAATAGCAATGGCCTCCACCCTAGAAATGATGGCCTCCACCCTAGTAGCAATGGTGAATTAAATTGAATGGACTTAAATGCAACTAAATGTTTCCGAGTCTTTTTTTCAATCCCCTTTTTCGCCTATTCAGAAAGACTCCGTCGGCCACATAGAACTCCAAACGCGGCCACATCGTCAACCGGCCCTTCGGTAAAGTCCAGGCACGCGCTGGGCCGATGGCCTCTATGCGGATGTGTGTGAGCCAAGGAACAAGGACGCTACAAACGGGGCTCCTGGCATTGCTAGTAACAAGAAGATTCGAACATAGCTAGAGTCTATTAGGTTGGAGGTTAACATGAAGCGCCAAAGCTGTGCCAAGTGGAGGGCGCTGCGCGCACGAGACCACTTTGTGTGACGGCCTCCTTGGTGCAGTGAACATAGTCCCAATAGGAGTTCAGGTTCGTCACCTTGGCAACGACGCTACGTTCGGGGCTCGCCTTACTACTGGGAGCGATCGGACGCTACTAGGAGAAAAGGGCATCACTACTGGGAGCAAGGACGCTACTAGCGGCGAGTGAGACAGAAAATGGGAAGATGAAGACTTTTGGAGGCAATCAGCTGCAAAACAGCTGCTTGCTCAGTCCCCGGCTTTATCTGTGAGATTTCTGTACATTGAATAGCAAGTGTTGTAGCCCTCAACTTGGATCGTTTCCATGACCTCAGAAGGCTGAACAACGTCGAACCAAACCAAGCCTGATCCCTTCCGTGCCCTAGGCCTTAGCCACCAGCTTCCAAGATCTCCTACTTTAGGTACTTAAGATACCAGCTACTTGTTCGCCCACCCTCTGGCCTAGTACTGCCTACAATTTGCTCAAATTTTATCAAAAAGGCTAGACTTAAAAACAGGTTTTCCTTTTTTAAGACAAACCCAAGAGGCAACGAGCTGGATAGCTCCATTGTCTGCAGATGAAAAGCCAGAGGGTCGCTGGTCATAGTATTTGGCCCAACGCATAAGGAAGTCCCGTGCGAAAGGCGTGTTGCGCACCATATAGTTGCCTCCAACGGATATCTGGAGAAGAACGCTCCAATCTTCTCGATGCAATCTCAAGTAGCAAGCCATGTATGTTTCTTGCTTTAGGCTTTATTTGGCCATCACTAGTAGGTTGGAGGCCATCGACCCCGCATCTAGGCTCAAAACAACTATACCTCTGAGGCAAAAAATGGACGTCGTGACACTTCGTGAAACGCGTTGGCGAACTCCGCCTGCCATGATCTCGTGGAAAAGGCAACCTCGGGGAAGTGGTCGAAGGGCCGGTGCAAAACATGTGCAAAGGGCATCGCTACTAGGAGCAAAGGGCATCGCTACTAGGGGCTCCTGGCATTACTACTAGGAACAAGAAGCTACTAGGAGCAAGAAGCTACTAGGTTGGAGGCCATCGCTTTTAAGTTCCTCGACTGCCCGTGCGATGTTGTTTTATGTGATACAACAGTCATCTTCTAGGTGGAAGCCATCGCTATTAATGTCTTCTCTTGCTGATGTCCTTTCTTTCCTTTTCTTTAGGTTGGAGGCCATTGCTATTACATTGGAGGCCATCGCTAATAGGTTGGAGGCCATCGCTGCTAGGTCGGAGGCCATTGCTAAGAACAAAAAAACAGGAAACATGGTCTAATTTAGTTTGGTGTAGCCTATTACTGTTGGAGGCATATCAAACATGATCGAACAATGTTTGCTGCTCTGTTGGGCTGCATCCGCCGAAACCAAAGGCCTCCATCCTGAGAGCGATGGCCTCCGACCTAATAGCTTCTTGCTCCTAGTAGCTTCTTGTTCCTAGTAGTAATGCCAGGAGCCCCTAGTAGCATCCTTGCTCCTAGTAGCGATGACCTTTGCTCCTAGTAGCGTCCTTGCTCCTAATAGCATAACACGCAAGAACAAAGGCTTTGCAGCAAGAACCTTCCTTCATCGTCTTCGCCTTCCTTTCGTGTTTTTTTGCGACTCGAGTGGGACCGTGCATTGCGTGAATTGGCACTAGGCTGCTCAAAACAGACCTTTTCGCGCAAGGCAAGCAGCAGCGGCACAGCTCAATGCCCATGAGATCCAGATTCCAACGGCAACGGAATCAACAATCTACGTTGGCTCGTCAATCCGGTCCAAAAGTGCTTAGATTCGGTACCAAGCTGAGCCCGCAGCGGTTGTAGAGTTGAATATCTGCGCCGTGGTTGATCCACTTGTCCTCCACAAAAGGCAGTGGCCAAAGGCAAGGCAAAGAACGGTGTTTTGAAGTCTATTTGCATTGGGTTGGAGGCCATTGCTTTTCGGTTCGAGGCCATTGCTATTCAAGAACTATTTGCAAAGCTCTAGGTTTCGATCACAAAAACACCAGTCGGAACGTTTCCTTGAACTGTCTCACTATTTTCCACTCACAAAGCCTAAACCCGTCCAGCCCACGCATTGGCGCTGCAACCACCACATCTCCATCGAAGACCGCGGCAGTGAAGGATGGAGCTTGGGTTTCAAGGAACTTGGAGACTGTGCAATGCTTTCCTCGGACGACGAAAGCACTGCAAACGACTTTCCTGTATATTTAGAGGCCACTCTGCCCCCGTACCTAAAAGTGATGGCCTCCAACCTAATAGCGATGAAGGCACCGCAACCTTCTCGTTTTTGTTTCTTTGTTTCTTCCACCGAGAAAAAGCTTGTCATCTCTTCTCGCTCGCTGAGTGACGGAAAAAGAAATCCTTGAAGCGCTTGCACTCAGCGTACTCTGAAGCAGTCAGCAGGTGCATCTCGTAGCCATGCCTGAACGCCAGCGCTAGGAGCAAGGACGCTACTAGGGGCTCCTGGCATCGCTACTAGGAGCAAGGACTCTTTTTACATTTTTTAGAGGGGGTAGGCTGCTAGTAGGTAGCTACTAGCTAGAGGCAGCTAGTAAGGGAGAAGCTAGTAGCTACAAGAACGCTACCACTTAGGACGCAGGATAGCTCGCGCTTCTTAGGACGTAGGTTGGAGGCGCTCTCAGGGAGACGTGATCCGGAGATGCGTGTGGGCCGACCGAAAGCCGGAACCGGGTCCAAGGTGCCTTACTACTAGTAACAAGAAGCTACGAACGGGGCTCCTGGCCGTACTACTAGGAGCAAGGATGCTACTAGTGACATTCCTTGGAGGAGCTGGTGAACGCTCTGTGAAACTCTCTGCCTATTTGCATAGCATCGAAGGCTTCTGATTTGGGCATCGAATCGACCTCAGCTCTGCGATGACCATCATTTCGATTAGGCTCCTAGAAGCGCTCGATCGCTCCTAGTAGCGATGCCCATTGCTCCTACTAGCTTCTTGTCACTAATAGCGTTCTTGTTACTACTAGTAAGGCACTTGTTACTAGAAGCGATGCACTTGTTCCTAGTAGCGTGGCGCTTGTTCCTACTAGCGTTCTAACTGCAACTGAAGGACGCTGAAAGGACGGATCGCCAACCTCGTCGAAGATTGACACGCTCTTTTACACGCTATAGGTTTTAGCGCATAAAAAAGAGAAAGCCATTGTTACCTCCACCCTAGTAGCGATGGCCTCCAACCTGGTTTTAGCACATCGTAGCACAGCCCATCTGGACATGGACCTGTTACTAGTAGCGTGGCACTTGTTCCTAGTAGCGAACCTTGTTACTACTAGTAAGGCACCTGTTACTACTAGCGATGCACTTGTTACTACTAGTCCAAATGTTCTTTAGACAGCACTCTTGCATGGCCCGACTATGTCCTGTCATGGCACCACTACAATCCCCACATTTGACTGCGTACGCAGCTTGCTGGCGCTGATCAAAACACCTGCGAACAAGTCACAAGTCATGAGTCTGTTTCAGTTGCAATTGTTGCAATTGAAAGACCATTCAATAGCGATGGCCTCCACCCTAGTAGCAAAAAGAATTGATACGCAAACAAAAAAGTGAACACAGTGAACATAGCCACAAGGGATTTCTCATTTCACATGTGTTGTCACACGTGTCTTTGGATCTGCATATCATGAGCCGTTTCTGCGGCCTAAGTGAAGGATCAGAAGCGCCAAAAACTTCATTGCAGAGACCCGAGGTCTTCGAGCCAAAAGACACATTTGGAACAAGAAGCTGCTAGGAGCAAAGGGCATCGCTACTAGGAGCAAGGACGCTACTAGGGGCTCCTGGCCGTACTACTAGGAGCAAGAGGCTACTAGGAGCTTTTGAACCTTTTGGATCTTTTGGTATGGGGATTGTTACCGGTAGCAGCTTCTCAAAGCAAACTGCTAAGCTAGCCCAACTCCAACCTAGTAGCGATGGCTTCTTTGATGACAGCCTGTTTTGACATCAAATTCTTAACATGCACAAGCTTGCGACTTTTTCCGTGCTTGTGCACCTACAAGTCTTGAAAAGTGCCGCAAAGTTCGCTTCACCACGAGGTTGAATCTGTTCCATCTAAGACGCCCACATGCTACAACAGCCTAGTAGCGTCCTTGTTACTAGTAGCAACAGCCCTCAAAGGAGCCATGGTGATAGTGAATGCGATATCCAGCACAAGTGGCGATTTGGCTTAGCGGGCCTAGCATGCGTTGGTGCAAGCCCGATCAGCTTGATTTGATTTCACAAAAATTTGCGACGGTCATGATGATCTCCTGGTAGCTGACACAATCTCATGTGAAAAACAACACCGGCCAAAAGACAAATAAAACAATATAAACTATTAGGTTGGAGGCCATCGCTTCTCAATCTAAATCATGTGAAGGCGATGTGGCGGAAACTTCTCCCGCCCATCATCCTGCATCTAGTAGCTTCTTGCATTACCTACTCACATCTACCCCCTAAGGGATTTGAAGAGCTATTCTCAGGAGCATCTTAAAAAAATAGTTACGGTTCTGCTTGACATCTTCGGTCTTCGACCACAAAACTAAAAACGCCAAAAACACAGAAGGCAAAAGGAAAACCCAAAGCTATGCTTTTTGCTTCTTGTTACTACTAGTAAGGCACTTGTTACTAGAAGCGTGGCACTTGTTTCTACTTGCTTCTTGTTACTACTAGTAAGGCACCTGTTACTACTAGCGATGCACTTGTTACTACTACGTTTGTTCTAGCTATGCAAAATGCTTTTTGCTTCCTTCATCGATGCTCTCTGCGGTGGCTCTCCTGCTGCTTCTCCGTGGCTCGAACGAAGCGCTCGTTCTTTTGGAGCGTTGGAGCCTCGGTTGACGAAACGGCGAGGTCTTGGGTCGTGAGTCTCGTGACTGGAGTCGTTCTCTGTTTTGTGCTTCTTGTTACTAGTAGCGAGGCACTTTTTCCTAGTAGCTTCTTGTTTCTAATAGCTTCTTGTTACTAGTTGTGATGAATGCTACGTTTCGAAGCTTAGTTACTTCTTGTCCTTCTTTTCCTTCAAATGACCTTTTGGACCGTTTGTTTACCTTTTCTTCATGTCTGAGTCTGACAAAAGGATGTTTAAAACGAACCTCACAGTTCTCACTTCACTGCCCATTGGACTGAGTGCTTAAAGCCAAAGAAAGCGAAGCCTGGGTCTTGGCCTTTACTCACTTTCCGTCACACGATTTTTCGTTGAAAACACACAAGGAGTTCAGATTGTCCAGTTTCCCTAAAATTCTAGGAACCAAATCATTAATGCGAGCGCTTCTTGGAAGCTTACTCCCGTACTTAATTAAGTTGGCGCCGGCTTAATTAAGTAGAAGCGGGCAAAAAAGACTGGTTTGGTTTCGATGTCAGCGGTCTGGAATAGAGCACACCTGAACGTAAGAATGTGCATGGCATGCTGCAGAGAACACACTCTCTACCTCCGTTGTGGCGAAGAAAGGGTAAACCAAACGCGCGAAGCTCCTAGTAGCGTCCTTGCTCCTAGTAGGAAGGCCAGGAGCTCCTAGTAGCGTCCTTGCTCCTAGTAGGAAGGCCAGGAGCCCCTAGTAGCTTCTTGTAACTACTCTCGAACGCTGCAAAGGCCGCCCAAAAGTTCGAAGCATGTCTTTTTCCTGACAGACCTTGAACCTAACAGCAATGGCCTCTTTTCTTTTCGCGGCTCCACGATGCTGAGCGTCAAGCGGGTAAGGTGCCAAGATGGTTTTGACTCTCCGTCTCTTCCTTTTTCCTGTTCCCTTTTTGTACTAGTAGTAACAAGAAGCTACTAGGAACAAGTGCATCGCTTCTAGTAACAAGTGCCTTACTAGTAGTAACAAGAAGCTACTGGGGCTCCTGGCCTTACTACTAGGAGCAAAGTGCATCGCTACTAGGAGCAAGGATGCTACTAGGAACAAAGACCCTTTTCCTTCTTTCTTTTCGTCACTTTGACTCTCCTTGACTCTCGTCAGTCTTCTTCTCACTGCCATCCGTTTTTGTTCCCAAACAACTGTAAAGTCGAACACCTGGCTGTGGAAATTTGGGTTTGCGCAAATCACTTTGAAACTTGGCAGCTTTGGGAATCCTTTCACTGTAGTAACGAGAGGCCTTTTAGTATGTCTTTCAAGCTTCTAGCAAAGCATTCTAAGTAACTAGAAGCTTCCTTGGGAATCGTTTCACCTGTAGTAACAAGAAGCTACTAGGTGGAGGCCATCGCTATTAGGTTGGAGTTGGAGGCCACTACTACTAGTAGCGATGCCCTTCAGCATCCAATGTCCACCCAGCTCAAACCGACGGCACAGGATGTGCTTCACGCTGATCGTCGAAGGCAACATCCCAGGCGGAGAGTGGCGAAACACGGCGAATACGCTTCTTGTTTCGACGTAGGTGGAGGTCATCGAAACTAGGTTGGAGGCCGCTAGTGAAATCTCTAGGACGTCACTGTGACCCCTTGCGCGACCACTGACTACTCGCCACTTGAGGTCCTTGCCTTCCTTCCTTTGCGCACTTTAGGAAGGGCTGTCCAAACAGCCATGTTTAACACTGAAAGGGAACGGAATTTCCTTCAATTCTTTCCGACACACTGACTTGGGGGGAATGACGTAAAGGATGCGGAGATCCACGGTGAATCGAGTTGAGCTCTACGCGTTTTGGAGGCCAGCCATTGTCATGTCCTCTGGCGAGCAGCCATACCTGAGAACAAGTTTCACATTCTGAGAACAAACAGCAACAGCAACGAACAGAACAACAAGAAAACAAGAAGGGTTGCAAAACCACAGAACATACGCTCTATCCACTTTAGCCAAATTTGTTCTTAGTGACCATGAAAAAAAGGAACGCGCCTTCTTTCCACAGAGGCGCTTGCAAGGGCCTGAACCTCAACGACAAGCACACAAAAAAGTACATAACTGTGGACATTTAGATTGGAGGCCATCGCTAGTAGGTTGGAGGCCATCGCTCTTAGGTTGGAGGCCCAGGCTTTTAGAAACAAAACAAGAAGAAAAGGAAGAAAGGTTTTACCGTAGAATGGTCAAAAGGCAGAAGACTGAGGACACCAGGTGCACGACATGTGATTCCTTTACTGTAGCGAGGCCAGCACTGTGAGCGTATGTGAGCAACTTTAATCGGATGTGCCAGGAAGGCAAAGAAGCTTGAGATAAAGGACCTAGCATGTCATCAAGCAAATGAGGACATGGGTCTCTTGCGATATGCCAATAGTAGTCTCTGGAAGGCATACACTTAAGAACAGGGCTGAGGCCTTAAAGGACCTGCCTTATCCCAGCAGTTCTTCCAAAGAACAAGGAGAGGAACCAGGGGAACCTTGGACATTGGAGGACCTATTTCAAGAAGGCGTCTATAAAGGATCCGCTCACCATGAACGATGTTTCACACATTGTGAGTTTGTGTTTTTAAATGAGAGGACATCTTTTGGGTGACAATCCTATTCACAAGGGATTGTTTAAAGCGTGTGGAGCGGGACTCGCCATTCGTAAACAAGAAGGCATTGACATTTTCGAGCGACGATGCTTTTCGTACGTAAACCGGTGAAATGTGGAGTGCGCCAAAGCACGGGGTAAAACAGCAAACAAGTAAACTTGGAAAATTTACCGTTTTACTCTGTTAATCGCTTTACCAAATTTACCTTTGCCCGGACAAGTGTAGCCGTGTAACCTCTTGGGCTGAACACGCGTGGAGAGCCGGCTTGGTGCAGAAGTCCACAAGCATGAACACATGTCCCACTGCACATTTCCTGGACCAAACCCATTCATCCCATTCGGTATTCTCTTGCTTTTCTTGCGAAATCGTTTGCCCTTTCATTCTGCTTGTGGATGAAGATAGGAAAAGAAGAACATATCTATAGACGAAAACAAGATCAGAACAAGCGTAGAAAAAAAGGCGCGGAAAGACATGCAGGTGACATGTTGATCCTGTGGCTCAAGAAATACACAAAACAATCACAAACATCCACTAAATGACACCAGCTTTTTCTTTCCGAACAAGAACGCTACTAGGAACAAACGGCATCGCTACTAGGAGCAAGGACGCTACTAGGGCATCCCCACCATTTGCGTTGCAAGATCAGCTTTCCAAGGCCCTGAAACCTGGAAGTGGCGAACTGCGCTGTTTCGACCTTCGTTTCACTGTTTCTTTGTCCTTCCTGACTTCCTTCCGGCGATGGCCTCCAACCTAAAAGCAAACCATATTAGACCTAATTCTTCCTTTTCTTTTACTGCTTTCGTCATCTTTCTTCTCTACCGATCCTTCTGCTTCTTTCTTCTTTACTGCCTTCTTTCTTCCGCTTTTTTGTTCGTGTTTTTCTTGCGCCTTGGCCGCTTCCCTGCATGCTTCGCAAAGGCGCTTCATTTCGTCAACCATCAGCTCCTCGGAAATTGTGAAATATATGTCTGAGTGCCGATTGCATGTGCGAACTTTCAACACGCAAATGAGCCGAAATACTGGCACCAACGAAAATGGCAGAGGCCATCGCTACTAGGGTGGAGGCCATCGCTATTAAGTTGGAGGCTATCACTAGTAGGTTGGAGGCCATCCCTAGTAGTTTCTAGTAGAGTTACTAGGTTGTTTTTACTTTACCAAGACTTGCGGGGGGTTCGGGCAGAACGAAAAACCAATTACTTTTTTGTGTGTTTTGTTAGCAAGCGGCAGCAAAGAGCAACACCGTTCAGTCCGAACGTCGCTCAAATGACAACAAGAATGCCCAAACAGGTTTTCTAGCGCATTGTCAACTTCGTGCCGAGGAGTCTTCAGGGAAACTTCTCCTTTC